ACAAGGTAGTGTATTAGTCTTAATAATATCTTTTTAGCTCTTTGAGCATAACTCCAAATATTTTTCTGTGTTTCATAAAAAATTCCATGTTTGTCCACCTAATTACAGAATTAAGCAATGTAAAGAAAAGTTTCATAAGAATCCCACAATAACCTAGCCAGTTATGCAAAATAATTTATGGTACATTATCCATGGAAAGTTCTAAAAAATAAAATATTTTTCAAACATCTCCACTAAATATGATGTTTACCTTCCTTTCCTTTTACTTGGGAATCTTCCCAGGATCTGCAGGCAATGTTAACTCTGCAGTTAAAGAATTACTCTTTAACTGGAATGGGATTACTCTTTAACTCAAATGGGATTCAGATCCAGGAGTTAAAAAATGTTATGTAAAAATTTTCAAAAAGAAACACCTTATCTCCTGCTTACCCACCCCTGTGATGCAATTTGATGTTTGCTTAATCAGCTCTCTGGTGTTCAATTTAACAAGAGTAGCATTTTAGCTGCAGTTTCAGAAACAATGAGGCCAACAGGAAAATCCCATAGGATCTTTATTTGATCTAAAACTATCTTAATTCAAGCTTTAGCTAGCCACACCATGCAGCCGGTGATTGAACAGTTATAACAGTTGCAACTCACTCCTTTTATCGTAGAAAAATAGTTTTGATCTAAAAGTTCTGTCAAGTCTACTGCTTGCTTCTAGCATTGCTCCTCAGGAGGCAAAATGGCCCTTCTCAAACCTTGCAGAAAGTCATGTATTTGAAACCATGAGAATGTATTGCTATTATTTTATCTTGTATAACTGCAAAAATCTCATAAAGATCTGTAAAAAATATCCTTAAATATAGATTTACTTAGTGACTTAGTACTTAGCAACATGAATTGCATAGAATGACAGAAAGACTTACTTATTCCCAATATAATGGCTAATGATGGAGCCAATCAGATTTCCTGTTCTCATACTAGGAAAGGAGGTATTCAATATCCTCCATATTCTTCATATATTTTACATTATTTATTCATTCTCATTCTTCCCATTCCATAGTCAATTATAATGCATCTTCCCATAGCTACTCATGTTTCTTTTTTTTTTTTTTTAAATTGTACTTCTACTAGTTTCTGCTGTCGTTTGCTAGCTTTCTACTAACTGTTTTTGCTGTCTTTATACTTGCATACTCCTCATAAAGCAAGGAAAATTTGGCAAAACTCTCTGACATCCTGCTGCTATAAAATGTCATTCAGGTGAAAACACTGTCCATATGTAAGTAGCGCCACTGATGTTGGAAGTGGTGCAGCAAAGTGCTGTACCCATAGCTGACCATAGCTGTGAGGGTTGTTGGGGTGTGCATTGACGACCACTGCATGTTTTGTGGATGGACAAAAATCAGATATGTCACACGGTGCAGTAAAGACTGTGCGTATCTCCCCATCTCTTCCATTCCCTGTTCTGATACAGAAGATGGCACTCATACCTCCATTCATCCATCACTCTCTGAGTGCCTGATGTATAGAGAAGGTAGCAGGCACATTCACTACTGCATTTATGGCCTACCTGGTCCATAGTCTCCTATTGCTGCCAAGTGAAGTTCCATCAAAGAAAAACACAGGTGATTTAGGCCGGTTTAGTTTCTCCTGCCAGTCTATAAAAAGCATCTGCGGAGCTGCTATGTGGTACCACTGATGCTGTGTATGCACCACATGTATTGCCCTGTTTTAAAACCTTTATTAGTGATTCACATGTTTATGTGCTCTGCAAGATAAGAAATAAAGTTGTTCAATGTGGTAAAACCTATTCTTTTGGTATTTCCCCTCTTTATACAAAAGCCAAATGACTCATGATTTTATTTTGCTTGGTTAAACTGTTCTGATATATTAATTAGAGTTTTATATATTAATTAGAGTTCTTTCTTTACTGTCTTACTCAAAGATTCTCAAGTGCTTTTTTTTTCTTTTAGCATCATCAGACTGTATTTAAAGTTCATCTTGTTTTCTAGGAGTATGTATTTGCAGAATTTAAAACATGTAGCTTGAACCAATGTCTCAAGAGAGCAATAGCTATCAGTTTTAACATCTAGCACAACTTGGTGCTGTCAGCAGACTGCATAAAGTCAAATTCCCTGGCTGGAGTCCAATGCAAGGTTCCACCTGCGCAGTTCTATTTCCACTCCACGGAAAACAATTCCTGAGACAGAGGTGGGAAGAGAATCAGGATGCACCTGTGCTCTCCTGTGAACACAGTCAGGACACAGAAGGAGCCTTCCTGGGGTACTGGTCACATAAGTCTAACAACGATGCTAAGAGATTTCATTTTTCTCCAAAACCCATACAAACAATTTTATTTTACTTGTTATTTTCACCTCACAGGTTTTCTGGTGTGTCTTTTAATTAGCTTATCAATCCTTCCTCTGCAAAAGCAAATTTGTAAATCTGTTCTTTTAGGATCTTATGTTTTCCACATAAACATGAATTAGTTATCAAAAGAGTAGCTATTTTTAAAGAATTATATCTAAAGCGTATGAGCTTTTTGGTCTTGAACAGATCTTTTAGCCTAAACTTCATTACTATACTCACCATTTTATATCGAATATCTTTCAGAACTTTTACCAAAACATTTGGATTTGTCTCTTTGCTCCTTAATTTTTCTGTCAAATATGACAGTTTCCCAAGGTCATATTACTGACTTCCTTTAAAATGCAACTAATGGTCAAGACTTTCCACACTGTTTTAACATGACTCTCTAACTACCTAACCCGTTTCTTGTCTTTGTAGGCATTTATCCCAAATTCATTATCACGTGGTTCTGACCATATACATACTTCTAAGCACTCAGCGTAGTGCTTCCAAGGTATCTGCAGAAAGTTTAAATCAGAGTGGGGGGGGGATAAGAGAGGGGAGAACCATCTTTACATTTTACATACCAAATTTTCAAAGGGATCTTGTTTCAGTGGTGAAAAAGAAAAGCTATATATGCAGATGTAGTATTAACCAGTATATTAACTAGCACTTCAGCACTTTAAGCTTTTCTCCAAAATAGTGGAAATAACTGCTGTAAACAGTTTTCAGATAAGCCAAATGGTGCTCTCATAAGTAAATATGACATTCATAAGACAAATATGGCTTATAATTTCACCTTCTGTGTGGTTCATTCACCAGTGTGCAGAATAACACTTGAAAAAAATTAAAGAGAACATTTATGTGATTTCCTTTTTGCCTTGTTCTCATTATAATAAAATCAAATAGGCTACCCACAGCCATCAAACCTCTCATACCCATCTGAGTGCTAATGTCATTTACATCAACATAAAGCTGGTAGCAAAGTTAAATCCATGGATGATTTGTATCAATACTTATATTCTCATTGCACTTCAGCAGCAACTCCTAAGATTTCTGTTACTGTACCTTTTTTTTCCCATACAGAAAATGCCAAGTGGGCTGAACAATTTGTCTTGAGTGTATATTCACAGTTCAAATTAACCCAGAATTCGGCTGGTTTTGTTAAGAAAAGCCTAGTCAGAAACGGTAATGAGAAGAGATAATGATCTGATAACTGTATCCTGAAGCATTTGCTTGCTTTTTACTTCTAAATGGTTTCTGGGAAGACAAAAAGTATTATAACAGAATTGTGTCCCCTTTCTGCACATCCCAGTGGCAATATGTGCTACTTGGGCTCTTTTCCTAATGAACTTACAGCACTATTAATCCTCTTTAGCAACAATCTCCTTCTGAGATCGAGGAACAAAGGCAAGTACCCCAGAAGATGGCAGATTTGAGCTTAGTCAACAGCCTTTAGAAACGCTGTCTGAGTCATTCCTCTTCAGCCTGTGTTTTCCCACTAAATTAAAACTCTGTATTTAAAGAGACATGCAGGTGCTGCCACCACCAAGACATACTAACAATCCTTCTCCATAAAGGTCAAGGACTTGATGTTTGTCAAGATGTTAAAAATTCAGAAAATAAGAAAGCATTTGAAAAGAAACTTTCAACAACAAAGGAATGCATTAATCCATTTTACTCTTTGCACACAGTATACTTATTTTAATAAGTAACAAAATTACCACAGCACCTGTCAAAAAGAAGAAATTTTCTGCCACTATTTTTTCGGCCAAAATTTCTATATATCTGTTTAACAGAAGATAGATCTTTGAGCTGCATTACAATCAATAGATAAGAAAGCAGAAACAAATATACTTATTACTATCAGATGTAATATATTATGATGACCATTCTATTTTTCTCACTCACAGGGAAATTTACACAGGAGCTTTTTACAGAGGGAAATGGCAGGCTAAAGAGCTTTACTGCTACTAAGTTACTGTGGATTTGCAGAAGTTTCCATGACATAGCAATTTGTAGTCCTACTCCCTTGCGAACTGCTTCTTTTGCCAAATGGTGCAACACACAAAAACTAAATTAGCCATAAACATGTACTGAATATGTACAGAATAACAGTTGCCGCATTTTATCAATGGTCAGCAAAATTTCGCAAGGAAACAGCACTACATAAAAAAACTTAGAGCAATGGAAACCTATGGACTGTTAATGTTGTTAGACTTACAAGAAATAATGTAGAAAACTATGCCCAAGCAAAAAAGCTTGAGTACACTTGCCAAGACCACTGTTCTGTGCCTGTAAGTAACTTAAAATTCAGAAGCAAACATCAGATCAGAAGGTTCATTATTATCAGTGGTGCAATCACATGAGTCCAAAGACAATCAAGAAAATGTGACATTGTAACATTTAATGAAAGACACTATAGAGATTTTGAAGCTGCGAATTACATCAGGGTGGAATTTGCTTTATTGTATTTCATTACATGGCTCTTCCTTTTAACTCTAGAGGACAAAAGCCCTCCATTCCATAAGACGGAATAAGGGACTGTGGGAGCAGTGAGAGTTAAGCCTACGCACTCTGCAACCTTTCTGTTACGATAGCCAAGACTTTTGGGGCTACTTCCAGCAAACCTAATCTCATATCCGGTAAATAAATTCAGGAAGACTCACCATAATTCCAGTGAGTAAACAGACTCCTTTCCCACAGTATGTATTAGGTACCATGTCACCATATCCAATGGATAGAAAAGTTATTGAAATCAACCACATTGCTCCAAGAAAGTTGCTAGTAACATCCTGTTGATCATGATACCTGGAAAAAAAAAAAAGGAAAAAAAAAAAAAAGAAAACTTCTTTATCACAAAAACTTGTAGTAAATTTTTGTGCTGACACAAAGGGTTATCACTGAATGGTGGTCCAAATCTTCTTGTATTCTACCATTATTTCTTTTTAAAAGCAACTATATGAGATAACATAAAACTCAAATGCAGTGACACTAGCAGTAAAAAAACAGAACTTACAGCAACAGCACAGTAGCAAGGATACTGATGACATTTTATATTAAGTATTCTGCTGTTATTAAAATAGCAGAAACGTTGCTTTTTAATAAAATCTCTTAGTGGTCCTGTTGATCCTCTGCAGTTGCATAAGCCACCAGCCTATTAGAGATGCTGCTGTCTCAGGCATACATGGAACTTGCATATCTGGACAGGCAGAACAGAGCAGATCTCCCATCTCCTTGGCCTAATCAGAAATCTAACAACACTATCATGCGAATGCTGAATTAAAAAAACCTATGATCCCTGCTCCCCTCTAGCATGTTCAAGATAAATAGAACTTAGAATATAAAATATGTTGTTGTGTTCCTCATCACCACAAGATTTTGTCCTTAAAAAATAAGAAAATCTTCCTTTTGTCTTAATGTCAGCTATTAAATGTAATTTTCTGATGTGCCATTTGGTATCTTAGTTTTATATTCGAATGGAGTATGCTCATCATCTCCTTTAAAGAAAACAAGGTCAAATGAATAATCTGGTCTTCATATTCCATATTGACCTGAGCAACTAAGGAGCCATTAGGACAAGTTTTAGGGCTAAAACCTGCTGTTACCACTTTCTCTGGAGGAAGAAAGGCATAATAGATTAATATAGATGCAGTTTTGCTTTCCAGATGCAGAGTAGCTCTGCAACAGAGGCTCTCTCAAGACTGCAGGCACCTCTGCAGCTGCTGTGAAGCCTCAGGTTAGTTATCTGTGTGGTTGGGTCCTTGAGCGTTTCATTTTAGCTAATCCAAAAGTCAGTGTCTCACAGTGGGTCACGGGGTACTATGGGAGAATTAGCTCACAAATCCATAAGAAACCCACTTTCCGCCACCAAAATAATTGCTTCAGTTTTCTCCCCTTCCAGACCTAAAAAAAAAGGAATGAACACAGCACAGAACCAGGCTCAGGAAATCCCCTGTTCTCTCACTTGCAGGATATTCCTTGCATGTGTCTGCTTAATATCTTCACTCTGTTCTTTGAAGTTTCACCTATGCCCTGGTGGTTACAAGGACCTACAAACTCTTTGACGGACAGAGACTATATCGGTCATCCAAGCTGTTGCAACCCAAACAGTTTCACTGTTTGCAACCCAAACTTCTGAATATTTTGCTCTTTTACAACACCGTAACAGTCTGCAGTTGCAGCTCCTGAGGATGACAACGGCACGGATAGCTATAGCCACAACAGCAACAAGAGTAGGAACAAAAACAGCAGCAGCTCGATTTAACACATTACCACAGAGTCACAATCACAACGAGATCTGGCACTGTTTTGGCCCTGTGCTTTTTTGTTTGTTTTTTCATGCTGCACTAAATGTTACGGGGTTCAGACTTCATTTAATTAACTTGCCAATTAAAGAGTGGAAATATATAGATGCACAGAGAGTTGTATTCATCCCATTCAGGCGGCCAGAAGAAAACCCATGTGTCATACAAGTCTCTTCAGATTATCATGTAAGTAACGCACACACTTTGGATAAACTTCACATATGTGAACTAGAACCACAATTGATACTTTAAAGCTGGCAACTCGATTAAATACAAATAAATGCTTGCATTAATTATTTAAAGACATTCATATGATGCTCATGTTTTCCTTCAGAAACTGGCATTTCTGTATTTCAGACAGAAAATAATTTACCTACAAAGATGAAAAGAGGAAGCAGTAAAGTGATGCTTTTTTTTCTCCCCACGTTAATGACTGAATTGTTACATCCTGACGAAATTTCAGACCGACATGCACCTAACTTCAGAAATGTTGATATGACCGAAAACCAGGCATTCAAATACAAATTACTGGGCTCCTGAAATAAATACCTATTTCAGATAAAGAATACTAAAACCTCACTCAGAACCTTGAGTAATGCAGTGTAAAAATAATAGAGTATTTATGGATTCCCTTTTATTCATTCCAGAAAACACAGTCCCAATCCATATATAGATCATATAACAAAGGTGACCTAGGGTTACACTGAAAAAGTGTAACTATCAACACTGTATTTTTTAGATTTCATTGGCGATGTGGATCTTAATTAGTAAGGTCCCTTAGATGAAATATTCATTAAAGCCATCTGCATCCATATTTAGTAGTGCACTTCAAGGACCTTTTCAAATGTTTTTATCTTATTAGCTCAGCTCTACTTTGAATATTTCATCTGGTTATGACTTTAAGATTGTAGGTCAGCAAACAAATGATAGGCACACTTAATTTCTAAATCATCAACAATAGCTATGATTTTATTGTGACCAAACTGCAAAGGATAGTTTGTATCCTCACCGTGGGCTCAACTCCTTAAGTATGGCAATTAAACATAATTTCATCTTTCAGTAAAGCTTTTTTACCACAACTGCATGGAGGTAACCAACTCTTCTCATGAAAAATCTGTTAGAAAAACAAAGGCAACCTAAATGCGTGGCTTTATCCTGATAATCTCATACTTTCTAAGAAAGATTTACATGACTGAGTGTTACTTTGACTTTTTTTACGGTAGTATGACTCAGAATTTTTGAATTTCTGTGGTTAATAATTCTAGTACATGCTTAAATGCTGATTTCCATAACATTACAGGAGTGTTTGAATAGATCTTCAGGAGCTTCATTTGTATTTATCTAATATGAACACTGGGGATTCAAGCATGAACTAGAAAAGGCAACAGAGTTTTTCTTCTGACTTGAGTGGAGGCAACAGCAGAACTTACAAGTTTTGATTTTGGCTGTGCTGTGTTTAGCATCCAATAAAGAATCATTACATCCATATCAAAAGTGGAAAGCATGAAGCGGAAGTAGAAATTGTAGTATCATAATTGTACAGTCCTGGGAAAAAACTACTGAAAATAAGCATGAGACATTTAAACAGCTTTGTTTTAGGGAGGAGGGAAAATTTTCTCGCTGCATCTCCAACTTGTTTTTACACATATCACAACCCCAAGACTCTCATTTTTCCAGGGAAAAGTAATATGCATAATGCAGCAATTAAACTTCCCCAAGCCCTTCCATCAATCTAATGTGTTGCACTCAAGCCACCAGAAGGCTTGAGGGAAAAAAAAAGTCACTCTTACCACTGTATTTTTCAGTTCAACAAGATATTTTTCATCTTCAACAGAGATAATCTCTGAACAGAGATAGTTCAAAGTCATTAAGCAGTGATCAATTAATAGAAACACTACTCTACAGTTGGGAGTTTCAAACTTGATAAGAATATGCAGTTAATTGTCACAGGCCCTATGAAAAACAAATCAAAAGCTTTAGGAAAAAAAAAGAGAAAACTCTTTTATTCAAAAAATAAATTCGGCACAAAGTCACTTCCAGATGGATTCCAAACTTGTAATTTTTGACATTAACTTTTAGCTTTAGATTTTAATTTTTGACAAGGTGCTTTTTTTAAAAAAAAAAAAAAAAAAGGTAGACTAATTGGAAAAAAAAACATTTATTCAACTACTTAAAGCCCACTATTTTCAGCCAAGAAAAGCTAGCACTAGAAGTACAGTGAACCACTCAGAATAGAAGATAAGAGCTAATATTTAAAACTGCAGCTATGAGCAGCCTGATTTTCTGGATCATGGCCAGCCTCAAACAGCCTTAGAATAAAGGGCCATTTAAAATATCAGTGTGTTCCTTCGAGCTAGGAAAATCCCTGGCTGAAGCCAAACAGGCATAAGTCCTATTTATCACCTTTTCTTTTCTTCTCTAGTAAGGAATGTGCTGGTAGGCAGGTAGCACTAGAGCTATCGCATGCTACTCTCCAGACAATCCTCCTCCTGTGAAAAGCCACTGTTCATTTCTCAGAAAGCAGCATGTATCAGTCCTCAGGCTACTCTAATTTAAGCCCCCAAAAATCTGAATGATTAGATGTGTGCAGAAATAGAATGACTCGATTCCTCCTCAAGCCAAACTGTGTGGGAGTTTTACCATTCCTCTCGAGAAGACATAAATATATTCTTCAACTGACAGTATTGCAGTAACTTGGGTTGCCAAGGCAATAGTCCAGATTCCTCACTAAAAAGCAGTCCTTTGATTCTGGATTCACTCTCTGTGTGATTTTCAGTGTTGTTTTTCTTCAGAATTATGTTCATATTTGATAATGTTCCCATCAACTGATACAACAGCCACTTTTTAGTTGTACACAGTTATAACCCATTGATTTAATCTTGACATCTAATTCACACTTATCTTGGAAAGTGATGAATAAAAAGAAATAAAATTTAACATTAACTTAACCACTGATGCATTTATTCACACTTAGAAGCTTCAGTGCAGCTTATTTTGCCTCCTTGATAACCTCTGATAACTCTGCACTCTTAAGTTTTCCTTGCCAGGACAACTCAAGGAAAGAACTGAAAAATAAGTTGAAAAGATCACTCTTTCTGTAGCAAAGAAAACAAACTGCTTGTATAGTAATTACACAGAAATTTCCAGGTAGCAATACAACGCCAATGTATAGTGTTCTTGTTCAACTTTAATAATATGAGGAAATAGATTCGGCCCACTAGATAAGATTCTTGTCAGTTTAGAGTCCAGTTGAGCTAACTAGCTATTAGAGTTCACTCGTAGCATGAGGCTTTTCTGTTACTAAGTGCCTTTTTACTCTTAGTAATACAGTAGACACTCGCAGAATTTTTTCTTTAAATATAGTGACAATCACAGACAAGTCCTTTTATTCCTTCTCACTTTCTCCTATTTAAAAAGAAAGAAAAAAAAATCAAAGGCCCTCACTGTGAAGCTAATAAAGTCAATATAAGAAATTTTGACTACCTCTGAGGGTTGAGGGTCACC